TAAAAGAAGTTATAAAAGGAGACAAAAAGTTGATCTTTCATCACCACAAACTATTGCTGAACTCTTAAAAGATGATGGAGTTAATTATAAAAATGATAATAATAAAGAAATTTTACAACAAAGCTCTTTAGAAACAGAACGAAACTCAAGATTAATGTCAATTCTAAAGCCAGAAGCTAATTTTCAAGAATATATTCCTTTAAATACAACTGTTCAATCAAGAATGATGTCAACGGTTGATTCAAGAGCAAATAGTCCAATTGATGATTTTTTTTCTTCAAATAGACCATCAATAGCTCTGGAATCAAGTAATGAACCTGATTCTTTAAATAAACTCTCAAAAACGGTATCATCACCTTCAAGACTGACAAGATCGACACCTTTAAAATCAAGAGATAATGCATTGAACGTTTTTAAATAAGTTCATTCCTACTCAAAATATGACAAATTTCAATACAAAAATTAGTGAAGTCATTTCAACTTTGTTCATGGTTGTATATGAACCCTAATATTCTACAGCTAGCAAACAATATGCATTTATCAATGCAGACACCAGCTGTAGAAGCATCGTTATTCATATCTTCTGGATTTACTTTAACACAAAAGCAAGATAATAAGGTGAAGGCTTGTCGTGATTTTCTAGAAGAATTGAAATGTCTCTTCCTTCGCATTCGGAATCCCCAGAAAATTGTACTTGAAGAATTGATAAGAAATGTTATAAAGTGTGACCTCAACAATGCCGAAGGTATTGAATGGATTCAAGCAGCAAATAGGCACTTCGGTAATTTCCGTAATAAGTTAGTTAACGGTGTTGAAGATTCGGTTAGAATGTTCAAGAAAAAAAGAAGATTGTTAGTATTAAATGTCAAATAAATATTTCTTTTTTTATTATTTTTAAATTACAATTAATAAAAATTTAATTAATTATAGGCCTATGACGAGCCCTTTACAAAAAGAAGAAATTATTACTTTCGTTAATGAGTTCGCGTGCAGGGTCGGTTGTTGAACGCCACTAATATGAATGAATTACGCGCTCAATGTTCCATGCCTTATTTATATATATTTATTCTGCATGCATTTGCTATTAATTGTTCATCAAGGGACACCGAAAAGACCCAAACTTTGGATACTTTAACGAAAAGCATCATAGTCCCATCACGAAATAGTAAAAACTTCGCCAGCAATTTACAGTTATAAATTATCTTTTTTTTTATTAATATCAAATTGTATTTAGTTGGTGTTTATTGATTTTAAATTTTATTTAGCAACAAACTTATCTATTAAATTTTTATAAAATTTAAATTATTAAATTTCGTCAAAAATGCATTTATTTATAATTATTTTCGAAAAATTTATTATTAAAATTTTATTAAGTTTATTTCACATTTATTAAAGCGTTAATTTATTATTTGCGTTAAATATTTAGTAATTTTTCATATTAATTTCATCTAAAAGTACTTGCCGAAACTTCGCATAAATTTCTAAGATTA